CGATTTTTTTTGTTCTGCCCTATAAAGGGTTAAATCAACATCTGTATTGCAGTCACCATATAATGCAGGTTTATTAACTATTATTACAAATTAGTTTCAGATCAGTACAAATTAATTCAAAACACATTACATGAAATTAAAGTAGACATTGTTGACATACAAAGTCAAATTCAACATCAAGGTTTACTATTGAGATTAAAAAATGGAAATGTAGATGACACACTTAAATTATCATTTGAAACCGTTTCAGAATTGGATGAGTTTGAGTTGAATCTCAAAGTAGATGAACTTAATGAAAGTAGATTGGTAAATATTTAATTTAACAAAATAGGTAAATAGTAACTTTATATTATAAACAATTAATATTTTATCTACAGAAAAATTGTCTACTAAAAGTTGGACATGTTAAACAACCTTCAAAAACTGTTTACAATTTATTAAAAAAAGTGATGACAAATAAAGTAGCTGAAACTTTTAATATTACTGGAAAAGGGAATAAGAATGCATTTGGAAAATATAAAATATCCCAAATAATACATAGTGAGTTGATATATTTTACTTATTAAATATTTTTACCTATATTAGAAAATATATTTATATATGTATACTCAATAATGTTTAATAATTATTAAGCGTGTCTCTTAAGAGATAGTAGTGTATAGGAAAAGAGTGTTCTTTATATAGCTAGGACCCATATTGAAATTTCAGGTTCAATTAAAACTTTTTATGTATACATATAGGTACTATATTTCACATAACTGTACCCCGTGACCTGTCCATACTTTTAAGGACATAATTTTGTCTTTATGTAAAGGATTTTCGTTCACTGTTCTCTATTTTTGAGGGAGTAACCAGGATAATGTTAGATTATTGTAATGTACTAAATACCATGACAAAAAAGATAGGTAAATATATTATATAATAATAATTAAATAATTTAACGGCCAATGAAAGTAGGCGAACCATGAACCTATAGCTGGGAAGGGTAGGATGCTCTAACCGTACCAAAGCTTGTAATTTGCTAACATGCCTATATTTTTTGTCATGCTAAATACTAACTAATATAAATGCAACTGTCAATATTTAAAAAAATAAATAAATAATTTTACATAATATTTATAATGTATGATGATAAAAATTTTCATCTATACATTATAACCACCCGGTCTCTTCAATAATTTCTAGTTGATATGCTATAACTTTAGTGGTAATTTGGCCCATAGTGAAAAAAATGTCCATACATACTACTACTAATTTTAGTTATTGGGTTAAAGTTAAGATTGTGTATTTTACCGTATAATAATTATTTACTTTTTCATTTTTCAGATGTAGTTTATTCCTTACAGGGTACAACCGAGGTTGATTATTTGAATTTTTTAGGACTATGGCTGCGTCAAGCCAGTAACCGTGGGGCTAACTAATCATTAATTCATATTATGTATATTAAGTATATCTACTAACTTAATCTAAGACTGGCAAGTTATTTTTTTTTTTTATATATATATTATGTTATTAATATTTACACCTAAGACTGGTTAGTTATTTTTTTTTTTAAATATTATGTTATAAGTATTAACTTTATGTGATGAAAACTATATAATATTTACACCGAAGACTGGTTAATTATTTTTTTTATATATATTATGTTATTAATATTAACTTTATGTGATGAAAACTATATAATATTTATACCGAAGACTGGTTAATTGTTATTTTNATATATATATATTATCATGTTCTTAATAAATAATTAATAAAAAGTACTAAAGGTATTTTCATTATTTTTTTAACTTTATATAGCAAAATTTAAAAACTTCTTAAAGAAAATTAATCAAAACTCAAGAATTGACCCAATATTATAAAAATGAAACACTTGCTAAAAAACCATCACTAATATAAATAGTTGACATTCATTGAACGTTTATTAAACATATTTTATACATAGTTATTATACGGTTATTTAATGTTAATTAAACATATTTTAGACATGGTTAATATACAGATATTCAATGTTGATTAAAAATATTTTATACATCGATATAATACAAATATTCAATGTTGATTAAACGTATTTTATATATGGTTAATATACAAATATTCAATGTTGATTAAACGTATTTTATACATGGTTATTATATAGATGTTCAATGTTGATCAACTGTATATTAGACATGGTTATTAAACAGATATTCAAGGTTAAATAAACTTTTAGAAATCCATGTCTAATAAATGTATATTATGCTTACAAGTAAACCACTACTAAATATGATATCCACGGTTTATCGTGGAGACTCCAAGTTTTAATAAACGTTTAATAAACTGATTTTTGCACACTGGGTATACAATCAGAAATCTAATACATTTTATAATAACTCGCCTAATAATTTTGAAATTTCAGTTCAAATGATATTATGTATTTTTACTGGTTTTTACAGAGATTTAGGTATAGTTTGAAATCAAAATTTTTTAACGGAAAGAAGAAAACAATTTTTCATATAGTACAGAATGCAAATAAAGTAGTACATTTTGTTCTTAATGCAGATTGTGAAGATTAAACGTCTGCTACTACTATACGTAGTCTGCTATCTGCAGCTGTCATTACGGTTTGGGGCAATAAAAGGGCTTCAATTTTCTTCAACAGCAACTTTTCTGGTAGGAAAGTGAATCTAGTTGGTGCATTCGGGAGGTTAAAATTCCTTAGTTTTGAACTCATCAATTACTTCTTTATGTTAATTACATTTTTTTGCCATATAAAATTTTACTTAAAAGGAGTCCAGACTCTAGTCTTTCTTGCAACACAGCTTAGAACTTTAAAATTTTTTTTTTACAATAGTTCATTTAAAAAAACATCTTTGAACAGCTTGACAGCTACATATTGTGATAGGTATAGTAACAAAATCTATTAAAACCGTTTCATAATTTGGAAAAATCTTTTCTCTTTGATTTTCTTTAAAAAATGTAGCTAATTGTTTGTAGGTATAGATGAAGTACAACATATGAACTGTTTGATTTTGTATTCAATAATCAATTTTTAATTTTTAATGGTACCTACCTAACACAGTCATAGATTATTCCCTGACATTGTTTATCTGTCTTTATCTATTTATATTAAATCGCTAAAAAAAGCTCACCGAAAAATTGACCAAGGGAAAATTTAAATATAAATGTGAACACATATGCATACTCTGCTCCTCATAGGCGTAGGGTGGTTAAATTTTTTGGGAAGGCTTTGCCCCCCACACTCCTCAACCAGTGTACATCTGCAGATAAACAGATCCATCATGTTCAACATCAACAATTATGTTTGTACTGTTTGTAGTATTTATTGATGTCAAAGAAATGTTGACAGATTTTTTAGGTTTACTGAAAATACTAAATAATTGATTTTTTTTTCATTTTGGTGAATAGATTGAATAATAACCGTATTATTCGGAAATTCTTAATAGCATAGAATAAACATAACAATAGTTATTAGTTGTAGGTTAGGTACATTTCGTTACGTACACGAAGCGCTTATCTTATATTCTTACAATCGTATCAGTCATCACTACTGAATTTTACAATATAATAATAATAACATAATAAAAAAATGAATAGATGACGTACAGACGTATTTCAATAAAATAAGCACAACTAACCTTAATGACATAATATCGATAGATTAAAACATGAATGCATTATTGTATATGATTTTATTAATATTTTAATAACGTACAAATTATTGATTTGAATATTTTTAAAATTTAGATGGCCCAAAGTTTTTTTTTT